CCTTTCATCATCCTGAAAAACCTCCAACAGTTTCCTTGAAAACAGGAAGATGTTAATTCTCCAAAAATGCAGGTCCTTTCAGATACCTTCTCGAAAAGGCATCATGTTTGATGACACCTAATCCTAGAGATTTTTCCCTCTGTTTGCTTTTCAACACATGCAGCAGGAGGAAGATTAGCAGCTGGGAATACTTCTGACCAAAATTTAAGGGTGGAACAATATTTGCATTTTTGTCATGCTGTTTGTCAATTTTCAGCGAGCCAGATATATCCCTGCAAGTTAAAACGCTTTACTGGGGAATTTCACATCCTTTCATGAGCAAGGTCAAGTTTTGCTGTCAGACTTTCTGGTTCCAAACCATCCAAATGTCAGCTGAAACATGAAAAAAGTACCATTGCTTATGTTATAGCAGACAACAGTCTGTCTCTCCAGATGCATGCATATAATAGTGACTTGTCTTGGAAGCTTCAGACAAAATATTAAACTCTACAACAGACTATTTTGCAATAGCTTGCCCCCAGGGGAAATTTCTTCCTAACTGCAGGCAGTTAGTAGCTGGCTTGGAGTGCTTATATCCGTATATATATTAATCCCAGCTAATATAACTACAGATGTTCTCATTCATAGGCCTATCTAATCCTGTTGGGTCTTTGCCATGGTGTCTCGTAGCCTGAGTTCTACAAGTTAATTACGTACAGTGCAAAGAAGTATTTCCTTTTATCATTGAAGAAGGTTGCCTTTTAAATTCATTGAATGTGCCTTTGTTCCTATATTTTAAGGACCAGTGGAGAAGAGCACCTGTCTGACCTTCTCTGCACAGTGCATTACTTGGCATTCCTCCACCATCTCTTGGCAAAGCTCTTCTAATCTTTTCCATCACCCTCAGATGGGTGCCTCTCTGTGCCTTTGACTCTGGCTTCCCAGCTGAGGGTGTCCTATTGATTTCTAGTGTCATAATATTATATTCAGTGTTACTCTCTACCCCTTTCACAACACAGCCTACTATCTTTCCTCTTCTGCGCTCCAGTGCAATCAGCCAGATGTTTCATTGACTCCCAGATCTTTCTCTGGAATGATTACAATTAATTGGGACCCTTCAGTGTGTATGAACCACTCTGCTCACTCCTTCCAATTATGCATACTTCTGTGTGTTGGTTTTTATCTGTTACTCCATCGCCTGTTAAGCTAACTTGGACTACTCTCACAGAAGACGCACGCTGTCTTCTCAAGCTGTGGATCACTTGGTGATGCACAGTGAAGTTGGTCATCTAGAGAAACTGCTACCTTCTTGCTTTCCTAGTCACTGTCTCTTATAAAAGTAACCAGCTTTTGTGGACAGAGACAACCAAATTGCTACACTCATTCTCCATTGAAAGCTAAATCATGCGCTCTTATTTCTTGTTTTCTGCTCCATAGCTGGTTTCTTAAGCATGAAACAACTTTATTTTTCACTGGTAATTCTTGGTCACGACTGCCACAAACACCACAAATTTTCTTAAAGACTTTCTGAAAGAGTTACTAAATCACTGGGATTACTTGCCTTCTACTTGCTGCTGTATGAACTAACAGATTAAAAGCATACCATTTTCTTGCATAAAAACCGTTCTTGTTTGCTCTTCTGAGCTTTGTTTCCTCCTTCATGGAATGATCCTTCTGAGCAAGGCATAGTGTTGCAGAAGCAAGGTTAGATATTAGCACTCTTGTCATCTCTAGCAATGCCTCAGGCATCGTCTTGCTGCAGTTTGTGATGAATTCTCGTGTCTGCTGCTTCATGGTCTCTGTTTCACCTGGTGCTAGAGAGTGCAGATATTCAGCGTTGCAGGAGTTATGGACAAACACATGCATCCTCAGAAAGCCTGGGCATGAAAACATGTTCAAAAGGTCCATGACATAATGTCAGTGAGGGTGCCAAAAAGATGTTTGCACTAATCATATCCCCTTTGTGATTACAGTGCATTCTTTCCTCAATTTAGGGTTACAACTCAAAGGAATTTGAATCATGCTAGCAAAACTAGCATTAACCACCAGCAGCTCAGCTACTCCATGGCTGGGGATTGAGAAGAGCCTGTAAATGCTGGCTCTAAGTGTTTGCACTGGCCAAGAAATTGCAAATTGCCTTTAATTGCTTCTAATTGCTGGCACTGGTTCATTTCCTCTGGGATAGGGACCGCAAATATGTATGTACATCTGCAGGCACTCTTGGGGCCGCTTCCTAGCTCACCACTCTAGGAAAGTTGAGTTGCTGCTGATTCAAAGGGTTTTCTGGAAGACAGGAAAGTCAAACTGAGTCCACATATTTGAGGATGTGGCAGTCATCCTGTACATTCAGGGTCCTAAATGTTTTGGCAGGGTGACCTGGTGCGAGAGTTTGGGGCTGGTTACAGAAAGTACATCATGCAGCAGCTTCCGCTGTCAGAGAGGAATCTCTCACGCAGAGCATTGGCACGGCACTGGGATCAAGGACAGGTGATGTCCACTTCTGTTGCTCAACTGCTCGGCAGCCTTGGCCATGTCATGGGTGCCGCAGGGCTGCAAAGCCTCACAGGTGTCCAGTCGTGATGGGGACAAAGTAGACAACCTCAGAGAGACGTGGCTATGCAAATACCCTGGCAGCTTTGGAAAAGCCTTGCTGAGGCATTACCTCATGAGGGAAGGAAGCAGCGTTTCCATTTATTTACATGGTGTCCAAAAGAGAACTCAGCGCTCAGCAGATCCACGCCTGTCCTCCAGGAGCCTGATTCTGCAAACCTTACTCATCGCAAAGCCCTTTTTTTTTTTTTTTTTTCCTTTTTATTTCTTTTCCCCTCTCTCATCAATGCAGTCCCACTGAAATCAGTGGAATCTGTTTGCTGGGGTGAGGATTACTCACAGGATGGGGGTTTGCAGGCGATGTAACATGAGGCATGTTCCTTTCCACTCCTCCTGCCCTTTGCCACTTCTTGTGTAACCCTTCCCTGCTTTGCTTGTGTCTCTTTTAAATCCTGCCTTTCTGCTGGTCTCTCCTCTTTAACTCCTTTCCCTCCTGCTCCCTTTAGACTTTCTCCAGCTTCCTGCGCTTCCATTTCTTCTCCTGTGGCAGGTCTCTCATGGCTAAAGTTTGCAGGGTTTCCTGCCATCCTCATCACAAACCATGCCAATTTAATCTTTAAAAAAAAAAAAAAAAAAGGATCTGTTAAAAAAAATTCCAGTGCAAACTGTTTTTCTGCTTCATGCAGGTATTCAAGCAAAGTAAGGTGTAAGAGGGAGAATAGGACTTGTAAGAAAAACCCCAATTCAGGAGTATTAAGGCAGGAGGAGAGCAGCAAAAGCTCCCGCATCACCACCATGCAAAGATTTTCCTGCACAGTTCAAAGCCAGTAGTACTCAAGCAGTTCAGGACGTATTGCCCAGTAACCCACAACAGGCAGAGCAGGTCAAACTGGGGGGCACTGGGTTAGTGAGCTGCAGCAGACTGGTGATGGCCAGAGGGATGGAGGGGTGGCTTTGTGTTGGCACATGAGGACCGTAACGCTTCCAAGAGATGCGTTCCCGACTGCCCGGAGCATTTTCATGGGCAGTGATACATGGTCCTGGTCCAGGTTGGCAGAGGAAATGCCGAAAGATGGGGAGCGACATCTGGTCTTCAGCACCAAGCCCAAAGGAAGTGCTGGGTGTGAGATGCTGCTCCCAATGTGGATGCAACATGTCTCAAACCAATATGAGTGTCTAAGGAGTGTGCAGGCCCTCAGCACCATCCCTCATGGGGCAATATGCTCCCACAGTGGGATTTTGGGGTGTTTGGAAGCCATGCCAGGCAGCTTGAGTTCCTGGAGCTGACTGGCAAATCTCCTGTCCACAGAGCAGCCCCTTTCCAGGCCCATTTGGTCTTCAGAAAGCTAGGGGGGCAATTTGCCCTCAAATCCTCTTTTTGGCAGCCAGCATCCGCAAGGGATTTGGGGAGAGAGGGATCAGCTCCCCAGACAGGGCTTTGGCTGGCTGCGTCCAGGGGATGCTGTGGAAGAAAAGGAAAGCTTTCTTGCCTTTCCCTGCCGCAGCTCAGCAGGGGCAGACCACAGTCTGGCACTGAGCTCACAGCTCTTAGAAATCAGGGCTGTTAACAAATGTGCGAGGCTGTAATCCTTTTGGAGCAGTGATGATAACAGGCCCCGATGCTGTTTTTCCTTTTTTCTTTTTTCTTTCTTTTTTTTTTTTTTTTTTTTTTTTTTAACAAACAGCTGCGCCGGTAAGTCCCACTGTGGGAAATGAGATGGTGAATGATTTCAAGTGCAGTATTTACATCCCCTGCCAAACCCTTCACATCTGCCCGGCTCCGCAGTCAAGCCTCCATCCATCTGGCTGGAAACAGCAGGTCCTCCAGGCTGCACGCAACCCACCAGGGCATTTCCTTCCTGCGCCCTCAGCACCAGCTGCCAGGGATGCTGCTCAGCGGGGAGAGGGCTCGAGCAACAGCACTGAAAAGAGGGCTTTTTTTCATATCGGATGTGAAATGAATTCACAATGTCCCAAAAGTGTTTGCTTCTTGCCTGAGATCTCCTGTGCAGAAACACTCCTTCCTTCTGACCGTTTTCTATGCGCCACTGACATGGGTTCGGGAGCGGGCTTGATGAGTCCTGCGACCTCCTTCTTTGTGCTTTGTGGACCCCGTTGTTGCAGCAGCCACCTTCAGATATGCTCAGAACAGAGCCCCCCATTGCCACCCCAGCTCAGATAGCCGGTATGGGCCACCAGAGCAAGGAGGATGTCCAAGAAACGTGTCCCTTCTCCCGTCCCTGGTTCCTCACTGTGATTGACAGCGGTAGGGTCACCTCCATCAGCTTCCCACCGAAGTGGTGGCTGTTCAAATCCAATGTGCCAAATGTCACCTTTGTTTCAGATGACCACAACTGCTGACTGGAGGACACATTCATGGAGAAGGTGGAGCTGAATCCATTGTGAGCCAACGTGTTGGGTTTTGCTCTCACCTCCTGCGCTGACGCTTTTGCTGTGTATTCCCCCCACAGAATGCGATTGCCACCCTGTGGGCGCCGCTGGCCAGACCTGCAACCAGACCACGGGCCAGTGTCCCTGTAAGGACGGCGTGACAGGCATCACGTGCAATCGATGTGCCAAAGGCTACCAGCAAAGCCGGTCACCCATCGCCCCCTGCATAAGTAGGTGGACCGCTTTTTCTGTGTCTAACATAGTGGATTTGGCCTCTAACACAACCTTTGGGAACAAAGCACATGCTCAGCGGTTGCCCTGCCAGCCTGAGTGGCTACTAACCTGGGCTGTGCATGTGTCCATGGTTAGCGCAGAGGGGAAGAGGCCATCTGGGAATCCCAGATAGCCACACTAGCAAAAATGGGCACATATACATCCAAAATACAACGCTGGCTTCCATGTAGCTCATTTGTCATGGTGGGCAGATTGAGTGCATCTGTAGCTAGTAACCCTCAAGAAATCTGTGATTTCACTTTGCAGACCCCAGAGGTGGCTGGGGAGCACATTTGCTTTGTGGCACCATGTCAGCTCTGGATCCTGTGGCAAATTGCTATCAGCAGAACTTCTTTTGAAAACCAGGCTATGCTGCAACGGCCCAGAGATCAAATCGGAAATGCTGCCGGCTGGATTGAGCTGCCACTGTGATAACGCAGCTGGGAGAATCTGGGCTGCTACTCGATATCTTACACTCACACAACCTGGCCAAAAGCCCGTGCTTTTTTTCCTACTTGATTCCCTAGTTTTGCTTTCTAGTTTGCCTCCTCAAGATCACTTTTGCCATCTACTCCTGAAGCAACAGCACCAGGCACAATGCCCATAGTCTCGTCACCACCGTGTTTCCCTCCACATCCCCATCTAAGTCCTCCTGAGCCCACTGGGGCTGTGGGGCAGCTCAAGCTGCTGAGTGCATGATACCTGGGCAAGATGTTCGCTACCCAGCACCCCAGGTTGTGCCTGGTGCTTAGATGTTGGCTCATCCAGGGGCTCCTATAATGCATCACAAACATAATCATGCTAGTCTTCCCCACCTGCCTCCTCAAATTGGTGCATCAAAAACTCAGGACATGCTGGGGAAAGAGAGTTGCTCCCTACAACTGCTTAGAGGGGAAACAACAAAAAGGCCCATCAGGGAAAGAAAGGTGAAGGCTGAAAGAACCAAGTCTTTGCCAGAAACCCGCAATCACTTCCAGCCCTGTCCACCCCCGGTGTCTGCCTCGCAGTGCCACCATTGCCAAATCACAGTGTAGATGATAGCCTTTCTCCACCTTCTCCGACTGCAGCTAACAAACATTCCGCAGTGGTTTCTGGTCACTTGAGATTCATTCTTCCCCGTGTCGCAATGGGACGGAAAGAGCTCAAATCAGATGCTTGTTTCCCCAAGATGTTACAGTCATGGCTCCGGTATGCTTTGCAGCAAGTATGTGCAAAGGTTTATCATTAATCGTTCCCCCAGGGCCATGGTAAATCAGAGGGTAAATTGTTCCTTGCATCACCTCCCTCGGGATTCATCGCACTAAATAAAGACAGACACAGGATTTCAACATGATCAAACCAGGCCCTCAGAGTGGGGCTGCACTCCTGCCAGCTGCCGAATCAGCGGCTAGCAGCCGCACACCAGCGTGAGAGCCTGGCGGCATGGCCCAGCACGGCACGGCATGGCACTGCCCACATGGCACGGCACGGCACTGCCTGGTATGGCATGGCATGGCACTGCCCGCATGGCACGACCTGGCACGGCCCGCATGGCACGGCACGGCACGGCACTGCCCACATGGCATGGCATGGCACAGCACTGCACGGCATTGCACTGCACAGCACTGCATGGCGTGGCACAGCATGGCATGGCATGGCATGGGTTGGCACACCATAGTATGGCATGGCACAGCACTGCCCGCATGGCACAGCATGGCCCTGCACGGCTCGGTCCAGCACAGCATGGCCCGGCACGGCACGGGGACCCCGGGGTCCTGCCGTCCGCCCGGCCCCGTGGGACACACAGCTCCCTGCCCCACACCACTGACACACAGGGAGGGTTTTTTTTTCCCATTATTGGATTCAATTATTTGTCACTATAAAATAGATTTTTCCACAGGCTGAAGCTTTTGACAGAAATGTGCTTGCAAGGACTTCAGTGCTCTTGCCTGCCCATTAAGTCACAGGTTCCAGTTAACATGAGTATCTCATCTAATAAGAAAGAGAAAAAAAAAAAAGAAAAAGACCACATTTTCATCCTTGAAAAACATTATTCAGCATATCCTATGTGGGTGTATGTGTAATTCATAAACATACCCATATATTTCATACATGCAGAGCAAAGGATACTCGCTTTCACACCTGCCCACATTGCTGTCTTGTCTTGAACTAGGAGAGTGCTGACATGTGCATGAGTCCATCCGCCTTCCCTGCAAGAGTGCAGTTACTCTCTGATTTACCATTGCTTATATATTTTTCCTGTCCCAGAGACTTATGGCCACATAAAAATCCCTTTGTGGGGAATGAGCAAGACCACATGTTGGTCCTGCCTGCACTGCAGCCCGCAGCAGCAGGCATGAGCATCCATCAAGCCGCCAGCTTCAGCAAGGCTGGGCCGCCTGTTCAGCTACCATCTAATTACAGAGCAGGCAGCCCACAAGGGCTTTTGCTGCCCAGCTTGAATTGCAGGAGGGTGAGCAGTGCAAAAAAGCCATCTAGTGCTTGTTGGGCTGCACCCATGTACGTCGCAGTCACTGCAGTGCAGACAGACTCTGTGGCCAGGGGGTTCTTGACAGAGGTGCACGAGCACAGACAGATGGAGACACTGGCTGCCGGTGCTCTGATTCTCCCGTGGTTAAATTCCACCCACACAATCAGACAAAAGATTTTGACCAGTAGGTCTTTCCCCCACTCAATTTCCCATGGATGCACACGAATCACACTGCTGGTCCTTGAATATGCAGCAGATATCATTCATGAGAGCTCCCTAAGTGCACTGAGGGAAAATAGATCACCTTGCTGAAGCTGAGACCATCTAATGTTCCCCATCTGCAGTCCATCCTTTTGACATTAACAAGCCCAGCCAGACTTGGGCATGAAGATCCAGAACATCATGTGGTTTCAGCTCTGTACACAAAGCCTGTCCAAAATCAAAACCAGAGGCCAGTGCATTGGCAGCAGATATATTTGCTTTTCCCTTAAATACGAGAGATAATATTTCTGTCCTAGAGAATAGATGTGATACTTTACTTGCATCCTATCTCACCCCAAGGAGTGGGATGTAGATAGCACTTCCTCAGATGGGAATGGAAACTGCAGCTGAAAGGGAGGGTCACTCCAGGATAGCACAAGGCAGCAATGTTCCCTTTTCCTGTTTCCCATTGACAACGGACACTTTGCAGCCGTGAGTTGTCTGGCTTGTGCATCCTCCAAGTCCATGCAAGAGCTCACCATCACCACAGATTTAGCAATTGCATTAGATTGCAAGTGTACACCGCAGCATTCACCTGGCACCACATCAGTGAGCTAGCTAGCCGTATGACAGCAGCTGAAGAAATCTGGAATCACCTAGCCACTTCCCTGGTTTAGCTACAAGCCACAATGTTCTTGGTATAAAATATCTCTCTCCACCTCTCCACACCCATTTGGGAGGATTTTGTGATGTGTCTGCCTGGTGTGGTAGTCTGTGCAGTTTTCTAAGGTTCTTGCAATACTCAGGTCACATCTTAACTGTAGATATGTTTAGAAGGGGTAAATGGGCTGTGTGCATGGCATGGGCTCTCGGGATCTGGAATAACACCTCCTCCTTTTATATTTTCTCCTTTCCTGCTTGTTCTGCCCTTTGCTGCACAGAGATCCCTGCTGCTCCCCCCACGACTGCAGCCAGCAGCACAGAAGAACCTGCAGGTACGTTGTCTCTTCTTCTAAAACCCCTTCATTGTGCCCTGACAGTGAATGTCGTTTTGAGTGATCATCTTTTGAGATATCTTAAACTAATACTCTATTGCCTGAGATGAAGTGGATACCTCTTACTTCCAAAATGTCCAAGTCTTTGAAACAAGTGTGCAACATTCAGAGATAGATGGGTGCTTCTAGGAGCAAGTGGGTGTACATAGAAGATACAGATATTCTTCTCCCAGAGGTGGATAAATCTATAAGCACTCCAACGTTGCCCAAAGTGGGATCAACACCTGATGGGAAAGAGGTAAGAACTCAAGACCAGTCTCAGTGTAATAGTGCATTTCCGCAGCTTCCAGGTGTGTCATTGTTGCTGGCCTTGTGGTGGCCAGCAATGGCAAACAGTTGCTCCAGCTCCGTCTCAGGGTAGGACATGGCATGAGAAAAGCCTGTTCACCTTGTGAGTCCTGGCTGGCACGTGAAATCATAGCATGATGTTCAGGTACATAAAATCAAAGGTGAATTGACAGAGTCTGCCATGTACCTTCTGAACTGAGGGCAGTGGTTCAAACTTCAATGGTTTTCTTTCCAGGCAGAAGTGCCATAGGAGGGTAAGAGAAAAGTTTGGCCAAGTTCTCCACCTTCCTCTCTTTCGGTTTTACAGTCTCGTCCTCTCCATGTTACAGAGGGACTTTCCAGAGGCCTGTATACAACTCCCTCAAGGTCTGGCATGTCTGAACAGCCACTGACAGCTCAAGACAGAGGGCCTAGGGAAGCCAGGCACAGTAACTTATCCTGTCCAGCTGCTCACAGATTCCTGCAAAGTTTGAACAATGCCATGTCTGCGAAGGATACGGAGAGTAAGGGTTGTTTACTTCTGTCTCACCAGTGTAGGGAGGTTCATAAATTAAGGATTTTATACTAAAAGTGATGAATGTCACCTTGAATTGAACTCTGAGACAATTGCTTGCACCCATGTCAGAGCTTTTCACACAGCTGTGTGCATTGCTGTATGCTCAGGAACTATTCCCAGGATGGCAAACCTGGGAAGCAAAGGGTTGAGGCCTTTAGTCCAGTGTCATGGGAAGGTAAAGCTCAGAACTTCCTATAGGACTGCTTTAAAGCCAAGTTCTGTCTCCTGTAGATACAATAGGAGCAACACTCTAATATTTTGGGTTGGTAGGCGCAAGAAATGTCTTGCAGCCTAGAGGTTGTGCCTGTTGCTTTGCATGTGCTTCTTGAAGTGTCTTCTGTAACCTGAAGCACAGGAAGGAACTCTAAGACTCACACCAACAATCTGCTCCTAGCCAGCATGCCTCCGGCTCGGATGTTGCTGATCACAGGATTTTGCTATCTAGAAGTGATTTGCAGAAAAAAATGGCCTGGGAACACTGTGAGTTTATGTTCCACATCAGAGTCTGTCTATTCCCCATCCTCACACATTCCCTAGCCCAAACTGTTCTCAGTATATGGCAGAGATGGCAGAGCAGACCTGAATGCCAGAGAGACTTTCACAGGTTCTGCCAACAAATATGACTATTTGACAGCTGAAAATCCATAGCCATGTCTTGTCATGGCCATTTCTGCTAGGACCTTCGCTCCTGAAAGCACACTCCATCTGTGTGGAGCTAACATGCAACCTTTTGAGCAGTTGCACAGTCTCCTCATACCACGACTGGTTCCCAGAAGCAGAACCAGCACCAGGCATTCAGACCAGGGAGCTCTTACCCAAAACCTCATTATAGATAGATGCATGTGGTTGCTGTAAGAGTGTGGTATTATGATGTTGGTTGACAGTGTGGTGGAATGATGCTGGTTGCTATAGCAGTGGTCCCAGTCATCCAAAGAGTCCTGTTCTTCCACTTGCAAGCACAGGGGAAAGGCAAGGTGAGAAAGACAGATCATTAGGAATGTGGGAGAGATATCGGGTTTTCCAAGTCATCCCTTTCCATGGACTCCTTCCTGCTCCAGGAAGGAAGGGCCAGGGACAAAGACATATCCCACCCAGTGCCGTTGCCCAGGCCATTTGTTAAGGTAGTGCCCAGCTTGAGTCAACAACCTCTCCTGGCTGTGGTCAGGCTTCTGCAGCATGGAGTGCATTCATGGGTGAGTAAGATACTGCTTCTCTGTCCAGTCTTTGATGCCTGAGGACCCCTCAGGTTAGCATTGCATGCAACTTACCACACTAAATTGCCTGCCAGTTGCTTGGAGATGGTGTCACAATGTGACACTTGAGCAGTCTGCATTTGAACTGGTCACGGAGAACTCTTGAGGTCTTTTTGCTGCTTTTGTGCGCTCATTTCTTCTGGACATAGTTCTGTTCATGAGTCGAAAAGGGCTTTTCTGAGGAGATTCTCTGCTACTTATTCACAGCTTCTTTTCCTGCCAGACCCCATGTTCTCTCACATCTTCCCAGAGCATGTCCATGAGCAGGGTCTGAATGCAGGCAAAGGGCTTGGAGGAAGCAGTATTTACCCACATCTATCAGCCAACATCCTGTCTTGAAAGAAATTTGCTGTGGAAGCCCCCAGCCCTGCTCCCTGCACAATTCATGGGGTGAGGAGTGGTTTGCGGGTGACACACATCTCCCAGTCCATGTCCTGCTTTTGGTTTCCAACAAAGCTGGGGAAAAAAAAAACATCTCCTTTCTGAGAAACTCTTGCACTGTCCTGGGCAAATGCCAAGTAGAGTAATCGCATTTGGCCATCCTAAATTCCACATGCCATCTCGATTGGCTACAGCGTTTGTCAGTGCCTACCCTGAGCTGATGTGCTATGGCAGTGTGACCTGCAGGAGCACCAGGCTGGGAGTCACTGCCATGAGCTCAGTGCCAAGCACTGCTGCGGGTGGGATGGGGGCCAGACCTGGGCTAAGGGCCCCCCAGCCTGGCAGTGTGAGGAGTGAGCAAGGTTGAGGGACTGAAGCGGTTCAGTGCATCTTTTTGGGATCCTCTAGCAGCATCCTAGGTACTGCAGTCCTCCACATCACACATCCATCTACCCTCTGCCTGGAAGATGGTGGGAGAACGTCAATAGGGATGCTTGGAGGGTTTAGAGATGCATGCCTCAGGCTGGCAGTAATTCAGTGCTGTAACTCAGCCGCTCTTCTTATTTTCCTGGGTGTGATTAAAGCCTGTAATCAGAAAATCCTTAGAAGAGTTAGAAGCTTAAGAAAAGAGCTGCCTTTTTAGAAGCTGAGAGGGTTATACGTGGGCTGGGAGCAAACCAAGAGTCCTAGGAGCAATGAAAAATGGCTTGACAGAGTCTCTTGGATTCTGGCATTATTTGAAGGCAGGCTTTCCCCATTCCCTGCCTGGATCCATTACAGTAGGCCAATCCATCTTTCCAGGAGCAGCTCACAACGTGTGGCGCGCTCTCTAACAGCTCAGCGGAGGTTGAGCCAAACTGAGCAATCTGATGGGCCTGATGTCTCACAGCCCCGATAATAATTCTTCTCACAGCGATTTTTATTGGGCTTTTTAAGCAGCACTTTGTCCAGATAGTTTGAACCTTCCATATTTTATGCCTTTCTTTCAGAGTGTTGGACAAAGTATCAGACAGCCCCAGGTCTCAGCATCGCACAGCTCCCATCATCACCCTGTAGCATCCTGTAGAAACTCCTGGTACTTGGCAACTGCTAAATTGATGTCCCTGATGAAGGCTGGAGGAGTAGCCGGAGCCTCCCATGGTACGATAGCAATGGGTTATAAGGATGGAAATCCAGAAGAAATTAGGAGATTTTGGGCACAACCAGTTCTGGGAAAGATGCTGCTTTATTTCCTTTGTTTGTAGCTGAGCATAACAAAAAGCTGCTTCCTCGCCAAGAACTGAATTAGTGTCACCAATGATCTAAGTCAACGAGGGGTAAATTTCAAAAACGCATGGGCCAAAGCTGGCCTGGGTACAAGTGAGTGGAACAATGTTGACTTTGGTGTGGGGGGCGTCCTGCCTGGCTCCACTTAGCCCTCAGAGGTCCGAATCAAATTGGGGAAAATAGCCAAAACAGATTTGTTTAGATTAAATGCATTGATGCTTTCCCATGCTAGATTTGAGGATGAGGAGGGAGTTCTCCTTGGTTTTGTGTCCAGGCTAGGAAAGCACTTCCAAACATCCAGTTCAAGTTCTGAACAGCCCTTTCTTTTCTGGTTCCACTTGCAGATGAAAAAGAGCACAGTGAAAGGACAGAAATAAGAGTAGAGGGAAAGGTTTACAAACCTGCCAGCCAGTCAGTCTCTTATCCGAATCTAATCCAGACTGGCTTGGAAATTATTATCTTAGGTGGATGATTTCAGCTCGTGGGCTTAAATAAAAAACAGGAAAGTGGATTGATACAACTTTGCATGGTTTTCCCCTGGAAAGAGGCCTTCAAGGTTTCAAGACTAGATCTGACCTTTCCAGAAGACCTTTGGGCTCAAAGTGTTTTGAGCCTGTACATCCATGTACAGGCCCTTTTGTACATAGATGGTGAGGAAGAGGCAGGATGTGGGGGCAAGGAGAGAGATGCTGAAGAGCATGAGTTTGCCACAGCCCGGCGAGCACCACTCATTCTGAGAAACGCCTGAGTTGTGGCCTCACCATCCAGACTTGGGGAGCACAATGCAGCCCTCAGAGAAGACAGGCTCGTAAAAAAAATTGGCTCCACATCGCAACTTGCTCAAAGTTTACAGGCAATCCAATACAGCGGTGGACGAGGGCCCAGGCTAGATGCTGCGGTATGCAAGTGTGATTAATATCTTCCGGAAGTGGTAAGGCAAGGGAGATGGGCAGCCTGGTCTCTGTTTTGGAACCATCTGAAATCCTCACAAGGGAAAAAAAAAAGGACAAATCCCATAGGCTGTCTAAGCCTTTCAAGACTGTTCCTGCCTGTGTGTCTCACTTGGAAAAAAACACACACAAAGGTTATGGCTTCAGTCCGGGAAAATAACAACTTTGTAGGAAACAGTAGAAAACATTCTCTTGAAAACATCCTCTCTCCCAGGAGGAAATAGGTCCTTTCTTTGGATGGTGAAA